CTGCTGTGGCCCCGGCGGGCAGGCCCGGGGTGGGGCAGACCCTGGCGAAGCCATGGGCAGGACATCTGGTTTTCATCTCCCCTGGCTCTCTGGGGCTTGCGTGCAGCGAGGAAACGGCACTCGGGTGTGCCGGGGCCAAAAGAGCAAAGGAGAGCCGGGCCTGGCTGCTCCGTCAGCCTGGCGTTGAGTTACAGCTCCGAGTATTAAATAAATATTCATGAGCGCCTGGTGATATAAATAAGTGATTAAACAAGTAAATACAGGAGGAGAGAGAAACCTCCGGGTGGAGGCATTCCCGAGAATGTGTGCAGCTCCGGGCGCTGGGCAGAGACCCCACTGGAGACGCCGGCGGGGGGGGGGGGTTGCCCTCCGCAGACGCCGCGTGGGGGAGGAGGAGCAGGTCTGCAGTGCGCCCCACATGGGGCCCGGGCCCGCCATGTCCGGCAGCAGTGCCCGCGCTGCCCCACGCCGTCCTTCCCGGTGTGCCCCCGCCGCTGCCCGGCCTGGGACTGTGCCACAGCCAGGCAGAGGCCAGCAGTAGGGAAAAGTGCGTGCACAGTGTGAAGAACCTCGGCCTCCCCCCACCGCTTTTTGCATCTTCTCCATGTATCTGAGATGAAAAAGTTACTTAAACTAAACAGTGGATTTCAGCTGGGCACCAGTGGCTCACATCCGTCATCCTAGCGACTTAGAAAGCTGTGCTGTGAGGACCACAGTTCAAAGCCAGCCCAGGAAGGAAAGTCCATGAGACTCTTGTAGTTAACCACCAAAAAGCTGGCAATAGAGCCTTGAATACGAGCCTTGAACAATAAAGCTCACAGATAGTGCCCAGGCCCTGAGTTCAAGCCCCAGGACCAGGGCGCGCACGCGCACACACACACACGCGCGCACACACGCACATGCACACACATACACACACGCACACACACATACACACACACACACGCACATGCACACGCACACACACGCGCACACACACACATGCACACACACACACACACACACACACACACACACACACACACACACACACACACACACATACTTCCTTCTGACAAAGCCACCCAGGCCGCCTTCCATCCTGCTCCCCAGCATTCATTCCCCTGACAGCAGTCCCTTCACATCCGGCCTTGGGGTGTCCTCCCTCGGCCCTGGTCCAGGGAGCACGTGGAGAGCGTGCCTGCTTGCAGCCCTCCCTGTGGGGGGCACTGCGCCCCGCCAGCCCTGCGGTGCCCTCCCTGCACACCCCACGCCAGGTAGGCCGTCCCAGGACACAGCCCTGGTCCCTGGGGAGGGGCGCTGTGTTCCGGAGGGGGACCCCTGCTCCCAGGCAGCTCATGCAGGCTCTCCTGGAGAACGCCATCCTACGGCTGGCGGAGGGGGGGGGGGGGGCGGGGGGGGATTGATCGGCGCTCTGGGGCTTGATTGTCTTCTGGAGACAGGCAGGGCCCGGAGGCCTTCTCAAGGCAGTGCCTGTGCCAAGGGCCGAAGCCCACAGCCTCCCCAGAGTGTCTCCCCACCCCACGGGCCTGCCGGGCTCCAGGCCCTGCAGAGCGTCCCTAAAAGCTTCACAGTCAGATGCTCCCTTCTGCCGGCTCCATCCCAGTCACCTGTGTGACCCCAGCAGCCTGCTCTCCCTCTCTGTGCCTCAGCGTCCCCACCTAGCAAGCAGGGGTGACAACAGCGTAAGAATTCCCTTCCAGAGTTGTGCACAGACATCCTAGACACATCCTAAACACACGTTCAGTGAACGCTCACCTGGGTCAGGTACCAGGAGAAGGGTCATCAAGGGAACCCGGGGAGGCACTCCACGACTCCCCGCTCCACAACTACCCCCCGCCCGCGGCCCCAACGCGGTGGCTGGGGCGCGCTCTGCCCGTCCTGCCTGAGCAGCCCTGCGGGAGCCGGCATCCGCACAGCGCGGCTCAATGAGCAGGAAGCTGACAGAATGGCAGGGGCAGCAGGCCTTGGCCTCTCGGGGCTCTCTGGGCCTTGGCCTCTCGGGGCTCTCCGGGTGTCCTGACGCGTGGCTGATGCCTCAAAGCCCCCTCCTTCCCCTGCAGCCTTCCTGTGGGGGAGGGGCTTGGCCAGGCGGAGCACTGTGGGGAGGGGGCGCTTCGTGATGCCCTGGGCCAGTTTCAAAGCAGCTTTGTGCCTGACGTCTCTGTGCAGACTCCCTGCCACCGCCGCCGGTCACCGTGGCGATGTGCGATGGGGCGCAGCAGGGACAGCCGCGGCCGTACGACATCAACCCAGCCGCCGGGGCTTCTAGCCCGCCGGCCCGCCCTCCCTCGGGAGCGGCTCCTGGACCCTGTCGCTCCCGGGGTGGGAGGGTGCTGGGGAACGTGACACCGCTTCCCACTGTGCAGGGCGTCCACGAAGCCACGCGCCTGCCGAGTGGCTGCTGAGCCAAGCCCACCGCTGGGGGCTGAGGACAGCTCCGGCGCGCATGGGGGTGGATGTCCCAGTCAGGGGGGTCATGCAGTGGGGGAGGGGATGGGGGGCTGAGGACAGCTCCGGCCCACGCGTGGGGGTGGGCATGCAGTGGGGGAGGGGCTGAGGACAGCTCCGGCCCACACGTGGGGGTGGGCGTGCAGTGGGGGAGGGGCTGAGGACAGCTCTGGCCCACACGTGGGGGTGGGTGTGCAGTGGGGGAGGGGGGTGGGGGGCTGAGGACAGCTCTGGCACACGCGTGGGGGTGGGCGTGCAGTGGGGGAGGGGGGCGGGGGGCTGAGGACAGCTCCGGCCCACGCGTGGGGTGATGTTCCAGTCAGGGGGGTCATGCAGTGGGGGAGGGGGGCGGGGGGCTGAGGACAGCTCCGGCCCACGCGTGGGGTGATGTTCCAGTCAGGGGGGTCATGCAGTGGGGGAGGGGAGCGGGGGGCTGAGGACAGCTCCGGCCCACGCGTGGGGTGATGTTCCAGTCAGGGGGGGGGTCATGCAGTGGGGGAAGGGAGCGGGGGGCTGAGGACAGCTCCGGCACACGCGTGGGGGTGGGCATGCAGTGGGGGAGGGGAGCGGGGGGCTGAGGACAGCTCTGGCCCACGCGTGGGGGTGGGCATGCAGTGGGGGAGGGGCTGAGGACAGCTCCGGCCCACGCGTGGGGTGATGTTCCAGTCGGGGGGGGTCATGCAGTGGGGGAGGGGGGCGGGGGGCTGAGGACAGCTCCGGCACATGCGTGGGGTGATGCTCCAGTCGGGGGGGGGGGGGGCGCGGGCGCTGTCGCTTCTCCTCCTTGAGGCCCAGCTGTCAGCCCAGCTCTGCCGCTCCCGGTGTCTGGTGCTCCCGCCCAGCCGCGGCCTGGGTGACTGGCAGAGGAACCCCCCCCCCCAGTTTCTTTGCCCCATCTCTCTGCTTCTCTGACTCTTCTTATGAGGGCATCATCACTGAACGTGGGGCCACCCCACACCCCGGATGCTCTCATCCTGAGCTCCCTGACTGCATCGCCAGGACCCTGTGTCTAAGCAAGGTCCGTTCACAGGTGCGGGCAGGACGGGGAGGACTCACACTTTCATAAGACACCAGCCATCCCAATCGACTCTCCAGAGCTGGGCCCTGGTTTAAGTGGCAGAGTGCCAAGTAAATCTACACTCTGCATTCAGAACCCCAGTACTGCCAAAAATAAAAGGAATAGAACCTTCTGCTACTTGCCCGATCGCCCTGTGTTCACCACAACCAACCCCTCCACCCCCGTCTCCGTCAGTCCCTTGGGCCTGCCTCTGAATTCCTGGGTCACTGTTGACCTGAGACGTGCCCTCTCTGCCATCTACGGCCTCCTCCTCCTCATCCCCCTTCTTCCTCCACCCTGCCCTACTTGGCTTCCTGGAGGACCCCAGTCAGCTCCGAGCCCTGATTCAGATGTGAACGGTGCTGTGCCCCGTCTCAGCTTCCTCCAGGACAGTCTCTAATGGCTGAGACCTTGAGTCTGGGGTTCACAGTGGTACACAATAGTACTGGCTCCACTCATGGGTGGGTGGGTGGAAGGATGAGTGGATGGGGGTGGGGGTGGGGGAGTAGGGGATGGATGGATGGGTGATGGATGGATGGATGGATGGATGAGTGGACAGGTAAGTAGATGGATGGATGGATGAATAGAGAGATGAGTGGATAGATGGATGAGATGAATGGATGCATGGATAGATGCATGGATGGATGATGGATGGATGATAGGTGATGGATGATGGATGAGTAGATGGATGGATGGATGGATGGATGGATGATGGATGGATGGATGGATGATGGATGGATGGATGGATGATGGATGATGGACAAATGGATAGATGGATGAATGGATGTTGGATGGATGAATGGATGCATGGATGGATGGATCGATAATGGATGATGGATGGATGATGCACGGATGGGTGGAAGATGGATGATGGATGGATGGATGGGTGATGGACGAATGGATGAATGGGTGATGGGTAATGGATGGATGGATGGATAGATGACGGATGAATGGATGGATGGGTGATGGATGATGGATGATGGATGGATGGACGAATGATGGATGGATGATGGATGAATGGATGGATGGGTAATGGATGATGGATGATGGATGGATGGGTGATGGGTGATGGATGGATGGATGGATGATGGATGTATGGATGGATGGGTGATGGATGATGGATGGATGGATGGGTGATGGGTGATGGATGGATGGATGATGGATGAATGGATGATGGATGATGGATGGTAGATGAATGGATGGATGAGTGATTGATGGATGGATGGATGATGGATGAATGGATGGATGGGTGATGGGTGATAGATGGATGGATGGATGGATGATGGATGGATGGATGGATAGGTGATGGATGGATGGATGGATAATGGACAGATGACGGATGGATGATGGGTGATGGATGATGGATGGATGGATGGATGGAAGGATTGCACCGAGCATGGTGTTGGAGTAGACCAGCTGTTCCCATGTGTGTGGAGGGGGCAGCACCCAAGCACTTGAGAGGCTCAGAACCCCTGCCTGCTTTGTGTTTCAGCTTATCCTCGTGAGCTCTTCCCTGAGCGCCCGGGAGCAGAGCCTGTTCCTCAGCACAGATGAGGGTGCCAGCTTCCAGAGGCAGCCCATCCCCTTCCTCGTGGAGACCCTCATCTTCCACCCCAAGCAGGAAGACAAGGTCCTTGCCTACACCAAGGAGAGCAAGGTGAGCTGGCACAGGCCGGGCGTGCTCTGTGTGGCGGCACATCCACCCAGGCCTTGCTGGCCAACGCCAGGCTGGACAGACATCAAGTCAGAGCAGAAGCTCAGAGCCCGAGCTGTGGGCTTGTGCAGGGCCCAGCTGGGGGTGGGAGGTACGGCGCTGGGCCAACACTGCTGTGTGTGTGGCTGTGTGTTGGTGTCACTGCTGTGTGGCTGTGTGTTGGTGTCAGGAGTCACGCCACGTGGCACTGGCATGTGACAGCAGTTAGACGTAAGGGACGTGGGCTGCACCGAGGCTGGTGAGGCGGAGTCAGGAAGTCACAGCCACTGTGGGAAGGCGCCACGATTGGTATGCAAAGAGGAGCCACAGAGGGGCGCCTTCCGGAATGTTCCACACACCTTCCCCTACCAGCACCACTGGGCCTTTCCCTTCCTCCTCAGCAGCAAGAGTGAATTCTCCTTCAGTCCTCCCTGGGAGCCGTGGCCCATGGCCCCATGGGAAGTAAGTGCAAGAGAAGAGGTCCCAGGCAGAGAAGAAGAGCTGTGCAGGGTGGGGCGGAACTGGGCCGCGGAGAGCCCGCCCCTCCCCGGGCCTGAGGGGCTGCGTGGGAGAGGCCAGGGCCTGGGAGAGCTGGGCAGGCACTGCTGTTGCTGCTACCACTCCAGGGAGCATCCTCCTCTTTCCCAGGTGCGGGTCGCTGCAGTGTCCCTTGGCTAATGGCCGCATCACATTCCATCTTCTAGGGCCATGTAACCAAACCTCTGCTCCATTTCTGTGATGGCCATTGTGCATGTGCATAGGTGTACATGGTGCACACATGAGTCACGCATGCCCCTAGGTGTACACATGGGAAGTCTCCCACAGCCCCCCTTGTGTTGGGATCCATGTGGTCACACTGTGCGCCCACCCCGGTGATTCCCACGCCTTCACTGTGATGGCCACCAAGTCCCTTTTACTCTGAAGAGAACAGTCACAGTTCTGAGATTCGATGTGATTGCCTTTCAAAGAGACCGTTCAAAGAAATCATCTTTAAGTTGTTATACGAAGGTTCAGGAATGGATAGATAGATAGATAGACAGACAGACTGATAGATGAATGGAGAATGAATGGATGGATGATAGATGGAAGGATGATGGATGGATGGATGGATGGATGGCTTCTGGTTGGATGGATGATGGATGATAGATGGATGATGGATGATGGATGGATGATGGATGATGGATGGATGGATGATGGATGATGGATGGATGATGGCTGGATGATGGATGGATGATGGATGATGGATGGATGGATGATGGATGATGGATGGATGGATGAGGATGATGGATGGATGGATGATGGATGGATGATGGATGTATGTATGGATGTATGGATGATGGATGGGTGATGGATGATGGATGGATGGATGATAAATGATGGATGGATGATAGGTGGAAGGATGATGGATGGATGATGGATGATGGATGGATGATAGATGGAAGGATGATGGATGGATGATGGATGATGGATGGATGGATGATAAATGATGGAAAGATGATGGATGGATGATGGATGATGGATGATGGATGGATGATGGATGATGGATGGATGATGGATGATGGATGGATGATGGATGATGGATGGATGATGGATGGATGATGGATGGATGATAGGTGGAAGGATGATGGATGGATGATGGATGATGGATGGATGATGGATGGATGATGGATGATGGATGGATGATGGATGGATGATGGATGGATGATAAATGATGGAAGGATGATGGATGGATGATGGATGATGGATGGATGGATGGATGGATGGATGATGGATGATGGATGGATGATAGGTGGAAGGATGATGGATGGATGATGGATGGATTATGATGCTGGATGCTGGATGATGGATGAAAAGTATAAGGATGAGGGATGATGGATGGATGGATGGATGGATAAATGATGGATCGATTAGGATGTTGGACGGATGGATGGATGATGGATGATGGATGGCTGATTGGTGGTCTCTATCCACAGGAATAAGCAGGTCAGTGGAGACTCCTGGTGGAGGAGGACGGCCACCTCCATCCCCGCAGCTGTCCTTGCTGTCTGACATGGCCACTTGTCCCAGGGCCGCCTCTGCCCAGCATCTTTCTCGGGACTATGTGTGATCTGGATATTAATAGCGCTACTTAGCCTTCCATGTAATTAGACTGAAACACAATCACGGAGACTTATTTTCCCACAGAAATTGACTGCTTTACAATTGCTCTTTAATTTATGGTGCCCTGAAAAATTAATGGAGCTGAAATCTTGGTTATTTTCCTTGGTTCTTTTTCTGCGACTAGCAGGGAAGTCAGAGGGGGAGGAACAAAGGTTTCGTTGAGGTGAAGAAGGGTTTGGAGGATTAATCGCAGTGGCAGCGGGGCTCTGTCCTGGGGACTTCACGGCTTTTCAAAGCTCTTTAGTGCCAAGCTCTCGACTCTAACACGTTTGGTATCTTGGGCAATGCAGCTCGGAGTCCCTCCCTCCCTCTACCCAGGGTGCCCAGAGCGGTGCACGCTGAGAATCAGCCCTGGGGTGCTGGGGGTGCTGGGCTCGGCTGGACTTTGATGACATGAAGCTGGGTGTGGCTACTGGGCTTCAGGCCTTCGCCTGACTCTTCTAGGGGCAAAGCAAGCCACCCAGAAGCTTGAGTGGCGGCTTTGACCCCCACTAACACCACTGACCGAAGAAAGTCACACGGAGCCACGTCCCCAAAGTGGTAGAGACCAGGTGCTCCTCCCGCCAGGTGCCTGCCCTTCTCTGCCAGTGCTCCCTGCCCCCCTTGGGCTGCCCTGTACCCCTCCCCTCCCTGGCTATGCCATCACAATTTGGAGTGCTCCCGGGCCCCCGTTAACCTGCACAGACCTCCTGCATACCAGCCCCCTCCCCCACGCTTTCTGAGGCTCTGCAAACACGGGTGGCTCCAGGGACCGGTAGGAGGGGAAGTCCCGGCACGTCCCATGCAGCTCACTGCAGACCACGCGCTGAGGATGGCGCAGGAGCTGGCACCAGTTCGCGTTCCCTGGGCCTGGCCATGGCCCGGCTCTGCAGGCAGAGCTGCGGACAGGCCCGTCTGAGACGTAGTCAGGCTCGCTTTCGTTTTTGCTGGTCCTGGAGCTTCATCTCTGGGGCTGGGCGCTGTCCCTGAGCTTCTTTTGTTCAAGGTCAGTGCTCTACCACTTGAGCCACGATGCCACTTCTGTCTTTTTAAGTAGTTTTTCTTTGGAGATAGCGTCTCAGGGTGTTTCCTGCCCAGGCTGGCTTCCAACTGTGATCCTCAGCTGTCAGGTAGGATTATAGGCGTGAGCCACCGGCGCCCGGCTGGACTCACTTCTTTGTCTTATTCAACTTACCTCCCATCAGGACCCTCTTCTACTCTCCTTAACTCCACGGGAGTCTGGGGCAGAGCCAAGACTGCCTTCCAGATACACAGGGGAGTAATAGCATCCAGGGGGCTAGTCGAGTTCTTCTTCCCTGCAAGGGGAGTCTGAGTAGGTCTGTTGTTACTTTCTAACACAACAAACGTGGAGAAACAAAGGTGATGGCACAGAGAAAGGCAGGAAAAAGAAAGCCACAGGAACACGGGCTGCGTTTATCCAAGTCCAAGTGCTGGGTGGGGAGGGCGGGTCCTGTGGTCACACTCAGAGCTTGGTGTGTGCATGGGGGGCGGAGTGTGAGGGTCCTGTGGTTTCCAGTGAGGGGTGGGCATTGCCTGAGGCCGCAGATGTCCGGCGCTGTGTTTGTAGCTCTCTGTGGCCCCAGTCCTCACAGGTGAAGCGATCAGACTTCTCCTGAGCAATGGAGCAGTTCCCATAGGGTGAGCCATGAGACCTCCGTCTCATCTGGGCCCATCTTTGCTCTGGCCGTTTGTACCTGAGGCTCAGGGCGTGGCTTATGCCGGGCCACGTGAAGGAAGCTCTGTAGAACCTCTCCAAGGAGAGGCTTCCGGCTGGGCGTGCCAAAGACACTGGCGTGGCCGGGACCCCAACCCCCAGGAGCCTCGCCCTCTGCAGGCCCGCAAGGGGTTGGCCTGGCTCACTGGGCCAGACACAGGAGGCCAGGGTGGATCTGGGCAGCTGAAGGGGCTGTCGCTGCGGCCCACACCTGGCCAAAGCCAGGACAGGAAGTCCAGCTGCTGCCTCCCACTCCCCACACCAGGACCAGGTTTCTGTGACACGCTGGTCACCAGAAGTGTCCCACTGGGCCAGGGAAGTGCTCCCTTCCTCCTTGGCCCTCCAAACCTCTCACAGAAGCCGGGCACCGGTGGCTCACACCTGTGATTCTAGCTACTCAGGAGGCTGAGATCTGAGGATCACGGCTCCAAGCCAGCCTGAGCAGGAAAGTCCATGAGACTCTGATCTCCAATGAACCACCAGAAAACCGGAAGAGGCGCTGTGGCTCAAGTGGTAGAGCACCAGCCATGAGCAAAAAAGCTCAGAGACAGCACCCAGTGTTAGGAAACTGAGTCATTAGAATAAAGAGCAGGGAACAGCCTGGACAGACCAGATCAACTGTAACGGAAGGTTGAAGAGGGACGCCATGGTGACGGGAGAGTCAGGAGGCACAGGCGTGGCTTAACAGCGGCTGGGGTGGACGGACTTGAATAGGGGGTCACGGGTGGCAGGCAGGGTCCCAGGTAGCTGGAGGGTTCAAAGACTTTCCCAGGTCTGTGGTACAGGTCTGTCCGGCTGTCACCTGAGAGGGTGGGGAGTGAAGATTCCGGGCTGGAGGATTTGGGGAAGGGGAGTCGGTGGCCAAGCCATGGGAACAATAGTGAGTTACGCAAACAAAGCAGATTCCCATCACGCAGGCCTTGAGTGCAAGCCCCAGGGCTACCACACGTGCACACTCACGCACACACAGGTGTGTCCCTGTGTGCATGCACACAGATTCAAAGGCGAGGGCTTCATCATGCCAGGGCAGCTCCCGTGTCCGCGGGTAGGGCGTAGACACACAGTGAGCCCACGGGCCGGCCCCCGTGTCCGAGGGTAGAGCATAGACACGCAGTGAGCCCACGGGCCGGCTCCCGTGTCCAAGGGTAGAGTGTAGACACACGGTGAGCCCACGGGCCGGCTCCTGTGTCCGCGGGTAGGGCGTAGACACATGGTGAGCCGACGGGTCGGCTCCCATGTCCGTGGGTAGGACGTAGACAGGCGGTGAGCCCACGGGGCAGCTCCCGTGTCCATGGATAGAGAGCGTAGACACACAGCCCACGGGCTGGCTCCCGTGTCCGAGGGTAGAGCGTAGACACACAGTGAGCCCACGGGGCGGCTCCCGTGTCCTCGGGTAGAGCGTAGACACGCAGTGAGCCCACGGGCTGGCTCCCGTGTCTGCGAGTAGAGTGTAAACACGCAGTGAGCCAACGGGCCGGCCCCCGTGTCTGCGGGTAGAGCGTAGACACGCAGTGAGCCCTCGGGCCGGCTCCCGTGTCTGCGGGTAGAGTGTAAACACGCAGTGAGCCCTCGGGCTGGCTCCCGTGTCCGCAGGTAGAGCATAGAACGCAGTGAGGGCAGGTCCGGCAGGAGGAGTCGTCCACACGCCTGGCCTGCAGAGCGGAAATTCTTCCTCTCTGGCCTTCAGGGATCGGGCTGTAAGCTCTTGCCCTGGAGTCAAACGTGCGCATCCACTCGGAAAACAGGCTGCCTGAGCACCTGGCTGGAGAGGAGGCTCGGCCTGGGGCTGGGCCTGGGGGGCCGGCCCAGCAGAGTGCCAGGTGGGAGGGAAGAGGCCCAGGTGGGGGAAGTGAGCCCCTGGAGTGGGGGGCTTCCCTCCCACCACGCCGGGAGCCAGGGCCTGCCGGGCAGGCTGGAGGCGAGGTGGGGTGTCTATTATGGGGTCCTATGCCAGGAATCCACACCGAGGGGACTGAGAACGGGAGGCGGGGTGCATGCGGCACGTGTAACTTCCACATGCAGTGGGAGGCCTGCGGCGGCCGGCCAGAGCATCAGGTGGGGCTTGGACGCAGAGCTGCAGCGCAGACACAGGAACTGCAGGTGGGAGGGAGGAAGAAGAGGCTGTCCAGGAATGGGGACAGCGCTGACCCCAGAGAGACGTGCAGGAAGAGTGTGATTGGCCGGGGAGGCGGAGCCGCGTGCCGGACGGGCAAGGCACCCTTCCCAGTGGAGGGCGGGGGGCAGGGAGGGGGGAGCCAGATGGAGGCCGTGTCTCCACCTCTGGACAGGCAAGTTTCGGGGGTACTCACCTGTGGTGTAGCACCAACGGCTCCGGAGCTGAAGGAACAAGGATTTCATTGTCCAGTGTAGCATAGAACCTTCCAGAACAGCTTGCATCTACAGAAACCCAGGAGAGGTCCTCTCCCCCTCCCCCCCAAGCTGGGGCGGCCAAGATCACTGAATGACGTGGAGCCTGCGCCCGCTTTCCCGCAGGGGCAGGGAGGGACACCTGTCCTGCGGTGATCTCTGGGGTCCCCCCTGGACACTGGCCAGTGTAGGAGAGGTAGGGTGGCCGTGGGAACAGTGGAGTTGTAGCGCCTGCGCTCCTGCAGCCCTGGCCGCGGGCTGTCCCCGGTCCTGATGGAATCCCCGTCTCCCCTCTCTGCCCTGCAGCTCTACGTGTCCTCCGACCTGGGGAAGAAGTGGACACTTCTGCAGGAGCGTGTGACCAAAGACCGCGTGTTCTGGTGAGAGCCCGTCCGCCCTCCCCAGGCCACCCCCCCGGCCCTGGCGCCTCCCCTGCCCTGGGTCTGCCCGGGGAGATGGAACTTGGAAGCGGTCAAGAGTCCTGGCCGTGTCCACCTCCAGCCCTGGGGCGTCACTAGTGGCCAGGCTGTGCTACCGCTGGGCCTTCCTCTCCGCGCCTCTGCTGCTTCCTCAGGGGTAGAGGGGTGACCTGGGGGCGGGGGCTCTGCAAATGCCAGCTCGTGGTGTACCTACTTCTCTTTGCTGGAGCTGCCCCTGGCCCTGCCAGACGGGGCCCGCTCTCCTTCCCCACCCGGCCCCCTGTCGCAGGCCCGGGGCTCCCCTGCCTGGCCCCCACTGCGGATCAAGGAGCAGCCCTGTGGAGACATGCGTGTCCCCGTGTGCCCACCCTGCCGGCCACGGGGCCCAGCAGGAGGGGCCAGGGCAGGCGAGGTGGGGCTGGACCCCAGGTGAGCTTGCAGACCACACCAGACCTGGGGGGGGGCCTGCTTCTCACCCGCATTCCCCCATGGGGACCCCTCGGCCCTCAGTGGGGCAGCAAGGCCGCTGAGCCTCCCAGGACCGCTCCCTGGACACTGGACTCAGGGAGGTCTGTGCAAGGCAGCAGTGGGGAGCGGGGAGCCAAGGCCGCGGGCGCAGGGCCCCATGCCAAACTGTGACCCCCAATCCTTTTTTCTTTTTCTGTGTGTGTGCGCGCGCGTGTGCACGTGCACGCCATTACTAGGGCTTGAACTTAGGGCCTCACACTCTCGGCTTCTTCCTTCCCAGCTAGCCCTCAAACACGTGAGCCAGTTCTGGCTTTCTGTTGGTTACTTTGAGAAAGTCTTAAGGATATGTCTGCCTGGGCTGGATTTGAACCAGGATCCTCAGATCCCAAGCCTCCTGAGAAGCGGGGATTAGGGCATGAGCCACTGGCACCGGCTCTGATTCCTTCTGACTCGGCTCTCTCTGGAGATGGACAGTTACCTTCAGATCCTCTCCATCTGCCACACGTGTGTGCACACACACGTGCGCACATATACGCTTCCATGCCTTCCTCTTTCTGTTGCACCTGAGCACTGATTTCTAACACATGTGGACGCGGACCTTGGATCTTGTCTCTTGGCCGGGCCAAGTCTTGTCTGGGGGGGGCACTCTGGGAACGCCCCTCCCCTCTCCTCACTCGCTCCTAACCAGGAGAGGGGTTGGTTTCCTGCCTCCACCCCCCCCCCCTGTCCCGGGGCCTTCCTCAGGTCAGCACTGGCCCTGGAGACCATGTCCTCGGCTCTGGGGACGACCAAGGCTGCCCCTCCATGCGTGGCCCCCGCCGTGCCCAGCCGCCACAGACGAGCGGGAGCTGCGGCCAGAGGGCCTCGGACCCCAGGCATTCTCAGGGCCAGGGGGTGGGATTCTGGGCAGTCCGTCCACGCTGAGGCCAGTCCCAGGTCAGGCTGAGGGCGTCCCAGCCCCGCCTGGCTCGTGGAGACTCTCGGCTGGAGAGCGCACAGCGCTCAGACGTGCTGCTATCTCAGATCAGTTTCCTGTCCAAGCCCGCAGAGGTGGTGTGTGTGGGAGAGAACCGCAGCAGGCACCTGGCTGCTGGGGCGACGGGCTTCCTCCCGGAGCGTGCTGACAGCCATGACGCACTGCGCACGCGTGACGGGCTTCCTCCCGGAGCGTGTTGACAGCCAGCCGTGACGCACGCGCGCACGCGTGACGGGCTTCCTCCCGGAGCGTGCTGACAGCCGTGACGCACTGCGCACGCGTGACGGGCTTCCTCCCGGAGCGTGCTGACAGCCAGCCGTGACGCACGCGCGCACGCGTGACGGGCTTCCTCCCGGAGCGTGCTGACAGCCAGCCGTGACGCACTGCGCACGCGTGACGGGCTTCCTCCCGGAGCGTGCTGACAGCCGTGACGCACGCGCACACGCGTGACGTGCTTCCTCCCGGAGCATGCTGACAGCCGTGACGCACGCGCACACGCGTGACGTGCTTCCTCCCGGAGCGTGCTGACAGCCGTGACGGGCTTCCTCCCGGAGCGTGCTGACAGCCGTGACGCGCACGCGCGCGCACACACGCATGCTCACACGCACACACGTGAGCGCAGGTCCTAGCGGCATTTCTGCAGAGCTCTTTGTCCCTGGGTGGACGGCAGGGCCTGTGGCGGCCCGGGCCTGGCCGCACAGCACCCTCTCCCGAGGGAGGCCCGCGTGGCACCGGGGAGGTGGCGTCCTGCCCGGCGCCCGCCGCAGACCGGGCCTCACGTCATCACGGCTGCCGCCGCCGCCGGGTGCTTCCCCGGTTCATTACCACGTGCCAGGCGCGAGACTGGCTCAAAGCAATCCTCCTGGTCGTCCTCAGGCTACATGGGGAAACTGAGGCTCGGGGAGGCGGAGCACTCACCCGAGGTCATGCTGGCCCTCAGCAGCAGCTCCAGGCCTGGGCCAGATCTGACTGTGGCGGTCAACCCTGCAGCCCGGCTCTGAGCCTCGGTCTGGTCATCAGTCGATGAGTGGGTAGGTGGGTGAGCGAATAAGAAAGCGAGGGAGCGAAGGAAGGAAGGAGTGAGTCCTGAGTGAAGGGCGGCAGGGTGTGGGCAGGGGCGGCGCCACTCTACAGATGATGGTGAGGTCAAGACCCGGCACCCGTCCACAGTACTTCACACTGGATACATGCAGGGAGGTGAATGGGTGGGTGGAGGGACAGATGGATGGACGGATGGATGGTTGATAGATGGGTGGATGCACGCATGTGATGATGCTTAGTCCACTGGCGTTCTGCTGCTTGAACCAGGCCTCCAGCAATGGATAGATGGATAGATGGATGCTGGATGTGTGTGGGGATGGATGGATGGTGGATGGGTGGATATGCAGGTGGATGGATGACTAGTGATAAATGGTGGGTGGATGGCCGCACGGCTGGGCGGCTGGCTGGATAATGGATGGGGAGATGGAGTGAATGGGTGGATGGCTGTGTAGCTGGAGGAATTAAAGATGGGCAAAGGCATGTATGTTTACATGAGCGGATGGGGTAAGTTCAGATGACTGGGTAGATGGACGGGTGCGTGGATGGACAGGTGGACTTATGACGGGGGACAGTGGACAGGTAGTGCACAGGTGGTGATGCTGACCAGCTTCTCGCCCTCCTGCGTGCTCCTGGGGAGCAAAGGCTGTGACTGTTGGTCTCTGCATCCTTGGCTCCTGCCACGCCGCACTCTGCAGACTTTTCTTAAAACAGGGCATGCTGAGGGCAGGTGGCTGGGGGCGACGGCCACTCAATGCTGATGGCGTGGAGAGCTGTGCCCCAGACACCAGTGCCCCCGCGTGCTGGGAGCCGGGGGGAGGGCACACCCGTGCCCCCGCGTGCTGGGAGGGAGGAGAGGGCACACCGGTGCCCCCG